TTTCCTCTTCTCTCCTAGAATCGACATCAGAAATTCTCGTATATATTTGATAAACGGCATCGCTTTATAAGTTTTTTGTGCATTTTCATATCGCAGGAGACTTATGTGTATCTGCGACTGAAAATCGAAAAATGATATCTACGGATATCAATTGATAGCTGCATTCCTGGATCTGAAATTGTTCATGACTGAAATTGGACGATATACATGTACTTGTATGTTTTATCGAAGATCACATTTTCAAAGCGATTTAAAATGTAAAAGAAATTTCTCAATTGTTCGAGTTGGATTTTTATTAAATTTTCTCGCAAAATGTTGCTGGAATAGTGAGAATATCTGTTTGGGTAATGATCATTTTTACATGTATTGATTGAGTTGTAATTGTCAATTACAAGAGTTATTTTTATTACTGTTACATATAAAATAAAATATCAAAAACCGTGGAAGCATAGCTTTAAACAAGAAGACATAAATTTTAATTTCCACTTATATGCATTATTGATAACAATTGATTTTTTTATGAATTTACGCTTTTTTTCTGAGCCCTATGCACCTCGTGACTTTTTTCATACCATCCCAATTTATAATATTTTATAAATAGTGTTTTACACGTGGTTCATAATATATTTCTTAATATTTTTAATATGCTGTATTCGCCATATTATTAATTAATATATCTACGTTATTTGTTTCTGACTACGCCTGATGACTATTTATTATGCCATCCCAATTTTTAATATTCTTTAAATATTGTTTTATACGAGATTTATAATAAATTTCTTTATATTTCAATTATGCTGTTCTTGCCATATTATTTATTATATTGTCTATATATTTTGTTTTTGACTACGTCTGATGATGATGAATGGTAACTTGTTCCGAAACTTCACAAAAAGTATCTTCAAAAAGATTTTATTTTGGATTGAATGTTTAGGCTTCAAACAAATTATATGTATATCAGCAAACAATATCTGATATGATAATGCATTATTAATCTACTATTAACTACACAAAATTAATTTCTTGAATTATTTTATTATGATAATTTAAATTTGTTATTGATAATTAAAATTCTTTATCGATGTTTTAATTTTTGTAATTCCGTTCTTAAATGTAATGAAGTAAATTTATCATTTCTTATATTACATAAATGATAGCAAATAGATATAATTTTATAGTAGAATAGAAAAATGAAATAAGCGAATTTAATTTTATATATTTAACCCTTTCCACTCGCGAATTGCGGAATTTATATTTCGGCGGCATCCGAATCGAATTCGTTAATCTAAGATTCTATTCTTTTCAATTTATTGTGATAACAAATAAAACTGTCTCAATATTCTTATAAGAATTTTTTAACTTATTGTTATTTTTAATTATTTTTGCATAATATTATTAAAAATCAAACTCATGGTTATTATATTGCGTACAAAGATATAGTAATAATATTAAAAAAGTTATTTTTACTTATATCTAATTTGAGAATGAAGTATCGCAAAGCAAGATAATAAATATGACTATAATAAACGGTTAATAAAATTTATTTTGTTATATACCTATTCGTTGTATAGTAATAAATTATTCGTATATTATAGATTTTTTTAAAATATAATCACTGCCAACTTATAAAAATAATTTATTCGTGAAATAATTATATAGTTTTGAAATTTGTATAAAAGCTGTAAATTTGTCATCATTCTTTTAGTACTAGTGCGAAAATATTCTGTTAAATTGCTTTTACATCTGCGGTAAATTTTGGTAAAATTTAATATAACTTTCTCATGAATATACATTACTTTGCTCTCATTTGAATCATTCAATCCATAGATACTTTATAAATAAATTATAAATATGAATTTAGTCATATAGCAATTGATAATCGTCCTTTAAAAAAAACGTTACATTTTACTTCAGCTATGCTCACATAGAAACCAAACGCTAAGCTTGCAACCACGAAAGTAATATTTTGCAAAAATAATTTTAAAACTTTTATCTGCCAATATATACGAGAGTCCGCCAGTTTCAAATAAAGAAATTTATGCACGGCGCTAGTCGCTAGGATGCAAGCAAATCGTAAAACATATATATTTTGTTTTATGCCGCCGGAGGTAGTTTCTGAACAGCCAGCGATTGGTCCAGGAAAATGATTTTTATAAATGCAGAATGAACGATATCATTCTCAAGATTCTGTTAAATAAATTATTATAATGGTGAAACTTTCAGAAATTGATACAAAGAATATCTAATAAATTCCTGGACCAATTTTGAACCAAAAAGTTGTAATTTGGGTTGGATAGGAAAAAATTATTTCGTCACAATTTTAAAAATCTACCATATTTTTATTTCTTTTATTAATTCCAATCTGTCTTTATGCAAAAATCTCATTTACTATATTTGAGGATTCGTGGATACTTAACATTTATTCAAATATTACTCAGTAGTGCGCCTTCAACTGCCCCAGATGGTGCAATTTTAAGACAGCAAGATTTATTTAAATATACTATTGTCTTATTTGAGGACCGCTATTCCTTTTACCACATTTAACAACAACATTAAGGTATTATATTTTCAAACAGAGATAATTTTTTAAACATCCTCTTTAAATTTTGTCAGGACTTTATCATATCATACTGTCCCTGAATTTCTCCCATAAACTTCTGAGTACTACAAAATATACCCTTAACGAACTCCTTCAACTTTTTAATGCTAAAACAAAAATTGAATTACCATCGTCTTCAGAATCGATAATAAGTAGTGCACTGATTGCTCGGTTTTGTAGTCTCTAATAAACTTCGACGGAGATTTTTTAAATAAATAAAAGAGCGTGCGCGCTGTTTTATAATGAAATGAGTCACGGGAAAAGTTTTTTAATAAAGCCAATTGGACAGGGTGGACTGAAGTTAAGAAACATATTCGACAATGGAAATAAATTAGTAAGTTTGCACAAATGTGTTTTGTCTACATTTATAGATTTTATCTGTAATAATCATTACAAATGAAACAAATAATCCAACAGTTACTTAATTGTCTTAATGAGATTGTAATATATAATTATATTTATGATCGGACACAATGAATTCAACTTCTATGAATTATACGCACATATTAATTATCAAACATGCTAATGTTGTTAGGTATAAATATTTGGACTTTGACTTAATAAAACTTCAGTTCTCTGCTTTGAAAATCGGATCTACCATTTCAATTTTCTCATTATTGCATAATTCACAAAATATGCGATATATGCAACTACTTAATTTAGTTTTGAATGTAATATTTCGACTTACATTAAATAAGAATTATATGAAATTGCATGTTTTCAGAGTTTTTTTTATATACTTTTCTAAATTATTCACTTAGTCCCAGTGTGAATAAAATACAAATGCATATTTGCAATTTGTGGTGCTCTCATACCATGAACCTGCCTTCAGGAAGTTACTATTTATTATTATTATAATCCTTATATAATGAATATTGATGTTCTATAAAAAGATGTGTAGTTACAAATTCGTTTAGATGGTGGACCTTTTAATAGAACATCAATATTCATTTATTCATAAATACTAGACCAAGTTGATTGACATTCCGAAGTACATAAGGATGAGGATTGATTTTTGTTAATTAGGACAACTCTTGATACGCATTGTGAATTTAAAATAAACTTTGTAGAAAGTTAACTGGATTACGAAATGAATTAATTTAAAACATTACAAAAAGTAACATTATTCCTGAATATTTCACATAATGCTTTTACACAATAGGATGCTTTAAGCTATATTTTCACAATTATTTTATTGAACATGTTCTTGATACTTCTGCAAAAATTGTGACATAGAATTTTTGTAATTTTGATTTAATAACCAAATCGTTTGCAATCATTTTATTTGTATTCGATATTTTCAAAATTAACGTAACCTTTAAAGCATGTTAAATTTTAATGTATTTACTGTATTTATTCTCTTGCTTTTTTATGATTATATTTTTCAATATAACTTGTTTGATTGACCATATAAATGCGTATCACAAACTATAACAAGAATGAAACATATATAAAAGATACTACTATATCTACATATAGTATTTCCGTAGACATGGATAAATAAATCATATATGCAAAGTTATAATTTTGAATTTATGTATATATGCTCACTTTAAACAAGTCAAAGGATGTTATTATTTACTAAACGTTGCCGAATAAATCCATCATCATATGTTTGTAATAAAAATGTATTTATATTTCGAATGAAAATATTTTGTTTTAGGCTTTTGAGAATACTTACGCAGCTGAGTAGTAACGTGTATAAACGATTATTTTACTTTTATGAATTAAAAATATTATATAAGCAAATGTTTAATATATTCATATTTAATAATATATAACAAACTTACATATATGCATATTGTAGAAAACTCTACAAATCTTGACTTGTAGACACCTCATTATTTACCAAGGCTGTTTATATGAAAAATTATATGAGAAGAATCTATTTATATGATATGTCATATACCACCAAGCTGACAATTATCCAACATAGGGGCTATTTCTTGGATAAAATAGCTATGTTAAGTTATCAGGCTTTTATTTTGAGAAATCCAATGAGTTGGCCATGAACTGTTAAAAAGCTAGATCTTGGTTGTTTGAAATATCATTATATACAAAATTAAAATCTAAAATCTAGCCTCAAAATGGCACAAATGTCAGAATATATCTTCACTTCAACTTCAGGCATGTCTTATTATGAAGAGAAGAAATTGTTATACTTATGATTACATATGCATGAAGTCAAACTATTGATATTTGTGCCACGTGGAGGTAAGGTTTCAGAAGTTAATATTGTGTAAAAATGTTCGATCACTCAGCAAAAACAAAACACTTTGAATATATAAGTATTTTATACGATAATTGATCTCTAATTTTGGAATTTTTTCATGTATAAAAGGAATCAGGTAATATTCAGCAAACTATCTAGTCATTCTCCTAGAATTAGAATCAAACAAAGTTCATAAATAAAAAAAACAGCTTATTTTATTATGAACAAAATGTTAAAAACATACCTCAAATATTTTTACAGTAAAAAGTGTTGTGAAATGATTTTTTTATTACAATATGTTTTATAATAATACATTATATTCTTCTATTAATAATTTTTTGATTTCCAGAAGACACAGGTCCATTATATAAGTATCCTGTACTAGTTTTCATCCATGGTGAATCTTATGAATGGGGCAGCGGTAATCCATATGATGGATCAGTCTTGGCAGCCTATGCGAGAGTGGTTGTCGTCACTGTCAACTTCAGGCTGGGCATTTTGGGTTTGTTTAAAATTAATATTACATTCTTTTTACTCAATCAAAAAACATTAAATATTTGATAAATTATATTAATTTATAATACTTGTTTTGTTTGCTGTGTTGCTGCGTATGTGCAATGTAATAAATCTTTATTGAACTTGAAATTTGATTAATTTGACACCAAAGTCATAATATATCCAGAAACACGAATTATATATAATTGAACCAGAAATTTGTTTTCTTTTCGAATATCATAAACAATTTTATTATAGCGCTGCGTTATCATGGATATTCCTTATAGTAATTTAATCAATTTTTGAATCAATGTTTTAATGTTTCAGGGTTTATGCGTCCAGGTATTAATGAGCATACAGTATCAAATTTTGCACTTTTGGACCAAATAGCGGCTTTGCAATGGATAAAAGACAACATTGAACGATTTGGTGGAGACAGAGGTGCTGTCACAGTTGCAGGTCATGGCACTGGTGCGGCCTGTGCAAGCCTTCTGATGGTCTCGCCCGTTGCAAATGGTATTATTTAATCCAAAACCAATTAATTTTAAATCACATTAAATTTTCACGCCACTTACTGTGTATGAATTTAATGTCATAAGCAACACCAAAAAATTATCAGTAATGCTGAGCCAATTTCTAGTCTTGGTTCTTCTTTCAGTTATATGTGCTTGAGTTTTATAGGCAGTTTATCTAATAATTTTGATATAATTATGCCAATATATTATTCTTGTTTTCAGGATTGTTTCATCGTGCGATTCTTATGTCAGGATCAGCATTATCCGATTGGGCAATGGCAAGTAACCCACTACAGTCCACAATGCAAGTAGCCCAAAGTTTAAATTGTCCCTTGGGTGAAAGAGACGAGGAAATGGTAGCATGTTTGAGAAAAAAGAGGTATGTTATAGCGGCAATACATAGTATGAAGAGTTTAGTATTTACAAAATATATTCAGGTTTTTATTGACATTTATCAGGCTAATATTTTTTTTGCCGGAACCCTAAAATTTAAAATCCGGTTCATAAACCGGTTCAAAAAATTTGATATATTTCGATAAGAACTCACAAATCTAATATATTGACTTTTTATATAATTAACTCTATTATACACAGCTAGTCTATACATTAAATTGTACAAGTATGAGGGAATCATTGAGTACATAATTTATAATCTTCAATGACACTAATCATATTTATTTTGGTATTATTTGTATTCATTAATACCTACAGGTATTTATTATGATATAAAAGTACTCAAGATTTATTACAATACTTTATAAGACTTAACCAAGTAGTATGATAGATAACCTATTACCTATATATCATACTATATTATATTATTGTATATCATCGATAAATATCTATTATCTATCATACCGTGAGATACCTATACCGTCATTATCTTATTATATACCTACAGATCTTTTACTTCTTATAAATACTACTGTCTAATTTATATATTCTATTAATAATATGATAAATAACCTATTACCTATCATATTATACTATATTATTGTATATCATAGATAGATATCTATTATCTATCATACCGTGAGATACCTATACCGTCATTAACTTATTATATACCTACATACCTTTTACTTCTTATAAATACTACTGTCTAATTTATATATTCACCTATATTATATAGGTTTACCTTACGCTCTATGTATTATCTCTACCTATCTATTGTCTATACCGGGAATTGAACCCGGGACCTCCGCGTGGAAGTCGCGCACCTTAACCACTACCCTATCGGGTACCCCCACTAATAATATAATATGGGACGCACTGTTGTTTCCGCGGGTCATTTTCTAATTAATTAGGTAATTAATACTAAGGTGGCGCGACGACACGCGAAAAAAGACGGTTGATTGTAGCGTTACGGTGGTGTAGTGGATAAGGTCGTCGCGTGCCACGCGGCGGACCCGGGTTCGAATCTCGGTAGGGTTAATGTAGCGTGTAAGGGAAATTATAGGTAATAGGATATATAGTAGATATAGGTTAGGTGTATTCGGTATACAATGTAGGGATTTGAGAGTATATAATGAAATATAGCGTATGGTACAGATGTAAGGCGTGTAGTGTAGAATGCAACGTATAGGCACACGTAAGGCTATAAAAATACATGAATAGGAACCTATGATGTAGATGTTAGCATATAAGAAATACGAATGAATGTAAGATTTGATTTATAAATATTATTTTTTCTATAAGAAGTTCATACACCTCAATTTGTTACTAAATTAAAAACGACTTTGATAAAACCAGTGGTTTTGTGCTAATATTTTTTTGCCGGAACGCTAAAATTTAAAAACCGGTTCTAAAACCGGTTTTCATTTTTTTCCAGTTCCGTTCAAAAAGGAAAGAAACAAAAATTATTACAAAACCCATTTTGTGCACATATATGTATGTTTATTACAATAATAACATTTAATAAAAAATAGTTGAATAATAACGTATAAAATTTACTTATTAAATCATTTTCTGTATGTAGCGATGTTTTTATATTTTTTCTTGCCGGCGCGTTCCGGCTCGACAACACCACTGTATATATATATATATATATATATATATATATATATGTATGTGTACGTATTTATTAAAAAAAAGAAAAGACTAACTTTGTATACAATGTTGTAAATGGGTGTGGCATTCAATTTACTTTTCTAAATGAGTATGGCAATCAATAGTGATTATTTAATTTTAAGGGGCACAACTAGTGTGAAATTTTCAAAAAATCAAAATTTCAATTTTTCCATATTTCGATAGGTTATACCTTTAAAAATAACATACCAAAATTTTAAATCGATATCTTAAATCGTTTTTGAGTTACAGCCATTTAAAGAGTATATATAATATATAGTACATAGTATAACGATCATTTAATCTTTAAACGCGTTTTTTCGAAACAGCATTTTCCGAATTTGTTGCAGCGATTACTCAAAAACGAACGATCCAATCACTATCAAATTTTTTTTCACATGTTCTTTATATAGTTCTCCGTAAAATGAACTATCGATTTTTGATCTGATCAAAAATAGAATGTTGGCAGTCCAAAAACGACCAAAATTTTGGGTAAAATTCGACTTTTTTTAAAAACGCCGTCATTTTGTCAATTTTTGATTTTTTTTCTTTATCGTAGTTTATTTTACAAACAATATTATCTAGTTTAACGAGATTTTTTTTTTAAATTTCATTCACGTAGAAGGCCGGAATCACTGCAGCAGTAAAGGGCCTTTTTTTGTTGCGCCGTTGGAGATCGACGATAACTTATAAAATATTTAATTTTTTTCTTAAAAAATTTTGCTATGTATTCTTAAAACATGTATGATTATATTCCTAAAATTTTGAAATGATTGATAAAGTAGTTTTTTTAATATAAATTCCCAAAAATTTAAACTTAAAAAACCTTTTTTTAAGCGGTTACACTAGTTGTGCCCCTCAATTCATACAGTTTGTCTTGAGTAACTCGTTAACCATCTATATTCTATAAAATTATTAATAGGTATAGAACGACATGAAAGTTCATTTGAAATGTATATATTTGAAATATGTTTATAACAAGTTTATCATATTATATGTTTATAAATGTGATAAAATGTTAAACAAATTTAAAAAAATAAAATTGATGGTCAGTGTCTACTGGACAAATTCTTATTACGTACTAGATACATATTAAAAGAAAATTATTATTAAATGAAATGTAAAAACACTCATTTACTAAAATTACCATTATAACAATCAATGAATATTTGCTAGGCTTTCAGAAATTATGGCGATTAGAGTATCTGCTCCAAAATACTCCACACCATTCGGCCCGGTCGTAGACGGCCAAGTTGTTCCAAATGACCCTGATCTAGTCATGAGAAAATATAATAATTTATTTAGCAGGTACGATACGAAGAAAATATAATAATTTATTTTGCGGTTAGCGATGATACATTTATTCATAATTATTTGTAGATACGAGTGTTTGTATGGCGTGACAGAACAAGAGTCGTACCATTTACTCAGTGGACATGCTCTTTTACATGGTATGGCAGAGGCTGATAAAGATTCTGCTTTGAGGTTTTACTTTCAATCGAGGTTTGAATATCGTCCGGACCTAGCACTTGCCAGCACTGTCAGAGAGTAAGTTAAAAAAAAAGAAATAAATGTAATTTTTAAATCATATTTACTAATTTTGAGACTAAGCCATACCTGCGTATCAATATCAATATTGCAAAAATTATGTTATGACGTATTTTTCTGTATTGTATATTATTATTGTATCAACTTTGCTCGTAGCTCCTTGCATTTTATAAATATTTCGGTAATATATGATGTTTTTCTTTTAGTCAACAATACAAGAGAACAATATTATAAAATTAAAATATGTTTAATATTTTGAAAATAATTTTAATTATTTTTTTAACCGTAAACATTTTCGGGGTAGAACGCAAAAAACATTATATCCAGCCGACTTATATTGTTCACTCTTTCTCATACTTCGATCAATATGTAATAAGATTTTACATATGAAAAGCGCCATATGTCAAAAATATGACCACATTTAAGCTTTGGTACCTACTTATTATCTACTGTTTCTGAATTTATCTACGGTTACGAGATTTTACCATGCATTTAATAGTACCTTAGAAAAAAATTGATGTAAGTATGAGTAAAATACGCGAGTAATTATTCTTTCAGTAATGAAATGTATTATACATATTTGAAAATTAATCAAACGTAATAAAAAGCATTTTAACAATAAGAAAATTTAATAAAGCACACACAAAAAAACAAATTTTTGTTTCGTAAGAATAGAATATTTTTAACTCTAAAGTTTTCATCTGTCAGACGGATCTAGTAATATGTCATTTTTTTTGAGACGTCTTTTTATGGCTATTTTACCTTCAATATGAATTGGAATTTGTTTGTAGAACACGAACGCGCTTACCATAAAAGCTCATCCCAAATATAGAAACAGTCACTCAAATTCACTAGCAAGCTCATTAATAAAAGAGAACTATCGACGTAGGATGAACGGAAAAGCGCCACTTTATTTATCAATTTTCCTGATAAAGATTGAAATACCATTATTTATGAGAAATTATTTATAAGTAAATAGTTAAGATTATATCATCATCAATAAAATATAGTTAATATTATAACGAATGGGAAAACAACTATTGAGTTATTTTTCCAACATATCCATTTAGTATACAATGTCCCTTTACGGCTGACAATTGTAAATTCCTCAAATTTATTCAATGTCCTTAAGTGGACAGTTGTAAATAAAATAAAGAATAAAAAAACATAGATTATTATCTTGCTTGTGATATCTATTCAAAAAATTGGCTTATTTGTATTAAAGTAGGGCTCGCCCGTAGGTAAGCGGTTAAGAGCGACGGGACTTGTTTGAGAGGTCCCGGGTTCGATGCCCACTTCGAGCAGCCTGTTGTCAGGCAACAGTGACAACGATTTTTACTTGGAAATATCAATAGCAATATGTTTCCAAGTGAAAATAACCCTCACCCGGCATTGTTGCACAATACTTGCCCTATTACAGAGATTGTAGTAAAAATTTATCATACAGAGATGTGACAACTGTTTAGGTTGCCATCTGTAATTAAACAAACGTAGTTTGTAAGATATTAATCACAACAGCTCATAGAACCCATAAGTTCTGATCGCTGTTCAAATAAAATTATTAAAAATAAATTTGTATTAAAGTATCTAAAATCAGTTAACCTTTATATATTTCAGGTATTCTTCTATAAATCATGACATCGATGCATCGCCTCTTCGATCTCTGGCCACTGCCCATCGAGACGTGTTACTGGACATATTGAGCGACGCCAGGGTGATCGCTCCGCTTGTACTCACTGGTCACTATCACTCCCGAGTTAATGCCCAATCTTACATGTACGTGTTCGCCCACAACAGCCAATATGGGCCGTACGCGGATGTGAGTATAATGGACATATTGGTATATATATATATATATATATATATATATATAATATATATATATATATATATATATATATATATATATATATATATATATATATATATATATATATATATATATATATATATATATATATATACCAATACATACATACATACATACAAATACATTATGGCGGGTCAATTTGTATGGGTAAAAAAACCTGACCTCACTTAGAAGTCCCCATATAAAAATTGTATTATTTTTGGTACTTCAATATGACAAAAATCAGCTATATATTTTTCATTATAAAATCTATTCAATTATACCATATGAATAAAACTATGTAAAACATATAAATTCTTGCTTGAAGTTTATTAACTTCCCGTAGGGCAAGTTATAGTAATCGCAAAAAAATTGAAAATGAAAATTTTTATATATCTTTACGTTTCAGAGGTTTCTGAATATTTTGGCATACCTTAGAAAAAATGGATGTATGTGTGTGTGTGTGTGTGTGTATGTGTGTGTGTATGTGTGTGTGTATGTATGTACGTGTGTGTATGTATGTGCGGATACAAATTTTCGTCGACGATTTCGGGAACACTGATCAACCGATTTTAATAATTCAAAAAACATTCGATTCGTATTGATAAGGAGACGTGCTGATTAGTTTTTGGCGAAGGCAGGTCTAGCCGTTCCGAAGATACGGGGCAAAAAGTGCCGAAAACGGTAACTCAGTTTTTAAGAGAACGGAGCGTCCGATTTGAATAATTCAAAAAACATTTCACTTGTATTGACAAGATGAAGAATCGATAAAATTTTCATGAAGGTAGGTCTAGCGGTTTCGGAGATATGGAGAAAAAAGTAAAAAAATGAGCCATTTGGCGGTCAAAAATGATCATTAGACATATGCACATTAAATTATCAGATATTTTATAGAGATTTTAACAATAAGTATACATATTGTTGACATTCCTATGGGTTCCGTACCAATGCTTATGCGTTAGACAGCGACGCGGCGCTTACGCGCTTTATATTTTGTCCCTATGCAGTTAAAGCAGTACGATTGCTTTGAAAAAAAAGTTCAGATCTTTCACAATATGTCAAAATAAAGAAAAAAAATTTTTTCAAAAAAAAAAAATTAAAAAAAAAATTTTTAAAAAAAAAATTTTTTTTTCAAAAAGTAATTTTTTGTCCAATTTATAGTTTCTCAAAAATCTTATTTTTTCAAAGTATTTTTTTTTTTCAAAAATGTTAATCGTTTTTAAAAAAATAATAATTTTTGGTACGGGAAGTTCCAGCAATTTGCCTTAAGGCACGATGCCTTAATTACCTTAAGACAGAATTCCACTTACAGCTAGTTTTGGTTTCAACTCCGGAAAATTTCGCACGGCTCTCTAATGTCGGCGCCATAATAGCCTCTAGCTAGCACAGAAGCGCAGGGACAAAATGCATTGGAAAAATTGAAACAAAAAATTTTATTTATTTTAAGAAAAGTTTTTTGTGGATGTATGAATTAATATCCGAAAAAAATGGTTTTAAAAAAAAACGTTTTTTTGTAGAGTAAAATATCAAAAACGATGTTGTTTTTGCAATTTTTGTATGGGAGACCTCTAAGGGGAAGGGTTGAACGATGGGAATGGTGGATCGGCCTTTCGAAGTTAGTGGGGGTTGGTCATACATTTCGACGAGATTGGGGCACTCTAAATGGGCCAAAACGGAATTTTTCAAAATTCAAACCTTATCTTTGGGTCAATGCACGGGACATAAGAATTTATTCTAGAAGTATGGCTTCTTCAGCAAAGTATCTTATTTTCTTTCCTAGTATCTGCAAATCATATGTGCTTAAGCAACTTCTAAATCGACCCTCCTCAATATACATATATGCACAGACTATTAAGAGACATTTGTATGTTGCGTGCTTTGCAGTGAGTAAACTATTCATATATTTTTTGTTAGCTGCTCCTTTTACTTATGCACAAAATCTGGAATCAGTTAGTTATTTTCATACTAAACATTTTATACTAGAAATATTATATATATATATATATATATATATATATATATATATATGTTGAAAGTGTTTAAATTTGACGTTGAAATGTATGATTAATTTCTTGGAGAGCGTAATATCAAGTAAAAAATATAATATTTTTACTTGATGGCTTGATAATAATATTTTTTACTTGATGTTACGCCCTCCAAGATATTAATCATATTATATATATATATATATATATATATATATATATATATATATGTACGTATGTGTGTGTACAGAATTTGATTGTCCACATACATAACTTTATTAAAAGATGGGCATATACTTGTGCATTGTATTAAAAAAGTAACGTCCGCTATAACTTTTAATTCAAATATAATATTCTAAATCTTAAAATCAGGATCTAGAAGTGACAATAGCACATTATTCCTCATTCTGTTCTCTTTATTCAGGTTAATCTATACCAGTAATTTTCAACGTAGGGCGCATAGGATGGAAATTTTTAGTTTAGGGGGGGACAAATTAAAAAATAACATGGCTTTGAAAACTGATACTTTCGATATTTTAGATATTTAATACCAAAATGAATATTCCAATAGAAATCAGAATAATTATAAATAAAATCTATATGGCATTTGCATTTCTTTTACGATAATAAGCACAAAATAATCTAGTGGTAATAAACTATTTGTAAGGATAGGAATTGATTAATCTCGGTATGATAGGTAATAGTTATATTATCTGTGGGAGATATTATATATGCAGTAATCTGTGATGTATACAATTTTAGTTCTCAAAATTATAAAATAAAAATTTAACGTTTTGTATTAAACGTCAATATATTTATATGAATAATAACATGACCTTTTCGAGGCAGATGTCACCTAGAATTAACTCAGACAACTTCGAGTACTTTTCAGGATTTCATTGTATATTACATATAGGTCATATTATTATAATTCATTGTATATTTTAAGTGTATATTTAATGGTTTCCAAAAAATATAGTATACTATAATAGTATGATAGATAATAGTAATGATTATCTACCATATCATTAGATTGAGTCTTATATTACGTATTGTAATAAATCTTGAGTACTTTTATATGAAAATAAATACTTGTGAGTATAAATAAATGCAATTAATTGCAAAATAAATATAACTAAACTTATTAATAGATATACATTATGTACTCAATGATTCCCTCATACTTGTACAATTTAATGTATAGACTAGTTGTATATAATATAATTGTAATTGTTGTAACTAATATATAATTTATTAGTTCACTAGTTTATAATTTTCTTATTATTAGTTCGAAAAACATAGCATTTTTCTTATTTCTTATTTTCTTATTAGTTCATTAGCTTATAATTTTCTTATTATTAATTCGAAGTATATAGCATTTTTCTTACCTCATATTTTTATTTCTAATAAAATCATTTCTAATAATATTTCATATTAATAAGTTCTAATATGTTATGTTTATATACATGACAGTTGGAAAAAAGTGTTCACGGTGAAGATTTGGCTTATTTCTTTGGAGCTCCTGTGGAATATAGAGGAGGACCATTTATAACCGACTATTTACCACAGGAAGCTTTGCTCTCAGAAGTTGTGATGACATTTTTCACTAATTTTGTTAAAACAGGGTAGGTTCAAAAGTATTATGATACCAAAAAAATAATTGTGTATATAAAAGCAGAAATATTTGTCCATATAATTATAACCCATTTACTTTTATATTAATTTTTAGACTGTTAGTTTTACACAAATTTATTCTTATTAACTAATAATTATTGTTTGTTTTTGATATACGATTTTTATTATCTATGATTGCGTTTGTTGATAAAGGGAATAACCATTTAAATGTGGATTTGAATTTTTCGATAATTTATTTTTACAGAAATCCAAATGCGCCTCGGAAAACATCGTTCTTGCACATGAGCCCTCTGGATTGGAGAGAATTCGATCTGGAATGGCCTGAATACAATTCAAAAAATCAATCATATTTATTTCTTAGTAAGTACTTTGATCTTATCCTACGACATTTCAGCATTTTAATCAGTTGAATTAATCTTGTAACTTAGGTGTGCCTCCTAATATTGCTCATAAATACCGGGTGCATTACACAAAATTTTGGAACCAAGAACTTCCAGAAGCATTAATAAATGGAACATCTTACACGTCCGGGGCCGGTGATTTTGGGTCAAACAGACTTTCCTTAAATACACCTGGAGGAGGTGCTTTGGGAAGAATGATACCTGAATCTCGGGATAATAGACAAGAGGGCGGACGAGGGTATGCGAATATGAATCATAGGCCAGGTAATTTTTTCTTCGAGAAGTTAATAAATTTAAAGAGCTCGCCCGTAGGTAAGCGGTTAAGAGCGACGGAACTTGTTTCAGAGGTCCCGGGTTCGATACCCACTTCGAGCAGCCTGTTGTCAGGCAACATTGACAACGATTTTCACTTGGAAATATAAATAGCAATATGTTTCCAAGTGAAAATGGCACTCACCCGGCATTGCTGCACCATACTCGCCCTATTACAGAAATTGTAATAATGATTTATCATACAGAGATGTGACAACTCTTTGGGTTGCGATCTGTAATAAAACAAACGTAGTTTGTAAGATATTAATCACAACAGCTCATAGAACCCATAAGTTCTGATCGCTGTTCAAATAAAATTATAAAATAAAAATTTAATAAAAACTGGTCAAGCTATGATAATTAACCTAATATTTCTACTAATTTGTTTTAATAGGTTCTCCGTCTCGTGACTATGGTACATTCCGCAGATATCCCCATGAATATGATCAATCCATGAGGACGACTACCATGGATCCTTTTGTCGCCATTAAAGTCCTTACTGGTCGAGCACCAGGATTAATGGATGGACCTCCCAGATCCGACGACGAAATTGATGATCACATTGATCATAACGATTTTGAGGGCAACGAAAATATGAGCGAAGTTGGATATCAAGGTAAGAAAATCTATATTTTATTTTAAAACTTAAACAAAAGCCAAATTGATTCGGATTTTTCATGTTACAAATGTTCAAAATAATGTTAATTTTATATCTATTTATTTTGCTAGAATGTCATAAAGTATTACATGTTTTATTATACTGTTTTAAATATATAAATATATAATATTAAAATATATACATTCAATTTTAATAAGTTAAATCAATTAAAATAAATAAGTTAAAATATATAAACATTTTTAAAATTTTTGAAATTTTTTTCATGCTATATTTCCATACAAAACTTAGATTGAATTGCGCACTATCTAAAAGACAATATTAAGAGCTAAAACTTATAGAAGATTTTTTTTAATCAATTTGGAAGCATTTGAGCCCTTGGGAGCAAGGAAATTCGAAATTGTCCATATTCAGGACATTGTTTATATATATATATATATATATATATATATATATATATATATACACACACACACATATATATATATATATATATATATACACATATATATATATATATATTCAATAGATAAGTCCTGGATTTTTTCAATATATGATTGTTTCTTTTCCGAACAGTAAATCCGGGATCCAGGATTTACTGTTCGGAAAAGAAACAATCAATATATATATATATATATATATATATATATATTAACTTATATTTGAAATCAAAATAAAACAAGTGACTGAAAATACTAATTATAATATTTACCTAGTAATTTATTATTTTTTAACAATTATATTCATATACATATGTGTATGTATGTTTGACAAATCCTGTTATTTAAAAAATATAGCTTTACTTTTAGTATGATTTACATAAAGTATTCAATATATTATTTTTTTAAATAATCAGTTTTTAAATAATTTCTAAAATTATATAAAAACCTCAAAACTTAATATTAAAATTTACATTATATTAAGCTTTTATTATTGCAGCAAAATTATCTAATTTTATTGCAGAATTTAATAGTTAGAGATTAAGGTTTGCAGCTTTGGAGATCTCTATTATATTCAAAAAAAATATTAAAAAAAATACATGCAATAAATAATTAATTGCAAAACTCACGATGTTTTCACCGCATCAGATTAATTCACATATTAATTATTGTGTCATACGAATCTAATTATTCTTCAATATTATGAAAATTTATAGTATTATTATCATTATAAAATGATAATAAGTTAGAATTGATGTCAATTATTTTTTTCATAAATGGCATTTTTTTGTCAATCAAAACTTCATTAAAAAATTTATTTATGAACTTACTGTTTACTACTTTGAAATTCTACATAAGTTTATGCATTTATATTGCGTTTACTTGCAAAGAAATTATGTATAAAAATATACAGAATTATTTAAAAATAAAAAATACAATTTGGTAGGATATTAATAGGTTGTATAAAATAATAAATAATATTTTCAGGTGCATCTATGACTACAAGCGTGATTATAGCAATTGGTTTGACGGTTTTGTTGATAAATTCATTGGCCATTGCGTTGTTCTATTATCGCAAAACCAAAAGAGCAAGAAGTTCCCAATCTAGCGGTAAATTACACAATTTAAAAATTAAGCGTATGAAAAATTCTATTCACCATGTTACTTCTCTTGTTACATGGTCAATTTTTGTTTAACGAAATATTTTTAATAATAAATTTAATCAAATGTTAAATACAATTTATCTATTATTCTATAATATTTTTCAGTAAATCGAATTTTGATAAAATTAGATTGGTTATAGAAAACCTGTTTTGAACTATAGAAATATAAAAAAACTAGTATACATATTACCAAAAAATATTATCTATAGGTCAGTTGCCTCCCAGAACTTACAGCACATCACCACCACGTGCTACCACAATCGATTTTCTTGAAGAAAACTCGTACGGAAATCCCACAGTTAATCGAAGCAATAATCAAAGAACTGGTAAATAAATATATTAACTAAAATTTTACTAAAATTCAAAATTTTTCTCAATGGTATGTTTTGTCTTACATCATACTAACCGAGATATTTTATTATGAAGTAGGTTTCGCAAGCATTTTATCGACAAGTCAACCGAGTAACGGAGAGTCTAAAGCTCGTAAATTTTTCCGCAATTTTTTAACAAGAAACAGCAGTAATAATGATGGAGCAAGCAATGGTAATGGATTTTTTTCAAGTAGTGCTAGCAAATCCTCGTCGAAACGAAGATCACAGTCGGCAACGGTTAGTAAAAATTTAAATATATTAATTTTTGAAAAAATGAAATTATAATTACTATTTAGTTAACGTTTAGTGTTTATAAAAAATTGTTGGATGTATCTTCTCTGATTGTGAGTTATTTTCGGTTATACATCTTACAGTAGGGTCACACTTATTTCATTCAACATAGTTCTACAAGTGTATTAGCTATTATCGGTTGCATGTTTTATTTTATATATCATGGTCTTATAGAACTTACTGAAATATTACGGCCTTACGACAAGTAGTTTAACTTTAAAAATTTATTAAAGTTTGAGAGCCTTATACTATATGATTATATACACTATTGGTGTGAAGTCTGTGCAAAAAAATTAACTAAACTTTTTTTCCATAAGCTTTTGTAGTATATTTAAGTAGCTAATATGCCATAATATTCAATATACATTTTTTGTTTTTTTATTTTCTATAGGTAAAACCAAAAACTGAGAAACATTCCCGAGTAAGAGACTGGATACAACAAGAAATTGTTCATAGATGTAGTCCTAAAGAAAGAAGGAAGGATAGTGTCAATCCTACACCAATAATACAACTTAAGGTAATTTTAAAACATTGGTAATTAAGAATTATATTTTTTTTATTTATAGGCAACTATCAGAATATAAAGTATTCTATAATCTATCGTGATTAAATAGATATATTGTTATTATTACTTATACTCATATTATTAACATCCCGTGGGGCAAAGTAATCGCAAAAAATCGAAAATGAAAATGTTTATATATCTTTACGTTTCAAAGGTTTCTGAATATTTTGGCATTCCTTCGAAAAAGTGGATGTATGTGTGTGTATGTGTTTGTGTGAGTGTGTATGTGTGCGTGTGTGTGGATACAAATTTTCGTCGACGATTTTGGGAAAATAGATCAACCGATTTTAATTATTTAAAAAACATTCGATTCCTATTATCAAGGAGAGGTGCTGATTAGTTTTTGGCCGTTTCAAAGATACGGGGCAACAGGGGCCAAAAAGGTAATTCAGTTTTTAAGAGAACGGAGCGTCCGATTTTAATAATTCAAATAACATTTTACTTGTATTGACAAGATGAAGAACTGATTAAATTTTTTGGAAGTCAGGTCTAGCGGTTATGGAATCTCAATAAAAATAATTTAAAAAAATGTCATTTAATGCTCAAAAATGTTTATTGGGCATATGCACATCAAATTATCAAATATTTTATAGAGATTTTAATAATGTGTACACATTTTGTATAATTTTTTTTGTGTTCTGTACCAATATTTTTAACTACGATACGGGAAGTTCCAGAAATTTGCTTTAAGGCACAATGCCATGCACACAACTAATTATATTTATTAGTACACTATTTTGTGCCCTTACGTCATTGTATGAATCATGCATATTTCTGTGATCTTAAATATAGGTAATTTAGCAATAACAAACGTTGATATTACATTATTATACATATTCTAATATATATTCCTATGGATTAATTATAATATTTTTATTTTTGATTCAAATTAGCTCCAAACTTCGAAGCTAAAATATATGAAACTTTACTACACAACTACAACACATTTTATAAATTTAACAGCATCCAATACAAATTATGCAAAAAAATATTATATAAAACAAATGTATAATATATTGTGACGGATTAGAAAGGGGTTGATGCCCCCTTTCTTAGGGTATATGCAACGACTACCAAGTATTACATCTAGCGTTGCATCCCCAACGAAAGGGTTACACCAACTCCTTAACCCGACTTCCTTAACCCGACTTCTTTAAACACCCTGTAATTACCTGTGGAAAAGCCAACTAACTACGCGAATGAAACAGAATGTACTTTTAGCTTATTTAATTATTACTAATCATTACAGGTGTAACGGCATGACAATACCTACGTACTGTCATGCCCTTTGCCTAAAACCTAACGTACTCACAAATCTTTATTAATTACTAACGTAAAACGGTATCAACGGAGTAACGCTAACGACGGAACGGAGGACGGAGGGAATAGCTTTTAAAACAATAATACATCTGACCTTTGCTGGAACGGGTTCTCCTCTCCTGGCACAACACACACACCACTATACACAACGCGGGTCCAGCGCCTGGCGCTTGGACCCACTGACCTCTTCAGAGGATGATACAATTCTTAATGCTATTTTTCAACCCCAGACTGGACCTTATATTGGCATCCCTATTGGGCGTGGTGGGGGAGCGTCATTGCACTGGTGGTTATGCAACCCTTTTGACGACAATACCGATTGTCGTTACACGCCCCCCTGTCACAGTAGAGTCGGCCTCGGCTCTTAAATTCAAAGTTGAAATTATTACCCTCTCCTGGTTTTTTCCGGGTTGTTCCGGTGTTTTTCGTAGGGTCCTGTTTTGCCCTTTGGTCCTCGTCTTTGGGTTGGCTAGTTTAACTTAGTTTGCTTCAAGGCTTCAAGTGTGAGCCTTGGCTACTGTACGATGATTGTAGTTGTGGTTGTGTGCTGGCCATCGTTCAGGTGTTGTGGTTCCGGTCAGATATTCCTAGAATCCTGGTAAGCTATTCCCCCTTTGATTACAAACTCAAAACACGTAGCAGCTAGTAAACATAAACTTACATATACACAAGTCTGATAAAAAAAATACATCAACATCATTAATACAAAAAAAACGAAAACAAAATCCTTCAGTAACACAAAAATTACAATACAAAAATAAGTCCGTTTGCTTAAGACTATCTTAACCTATTTCGTTCTCAAAGAAACCGTGTTGGGAAAAACTGTACTCAGCAAATTCAGAAAAAAAAGGAAAAACAAGACTAGACTCAGAAAAAAAAGTAGTTATATAACACAGACTAACAAAAGACAAAAACTTAATAAAAAAAATATTCGAAGTACAATCGTTTTTCGTAACACGTTTCCTTGAAACACAATCTTATCCTATGTGCGTGTGCTGTCACCTATTTTCTTGGTTGTAGTATTAGAATTAATGGAATAACCGTAGCCCGAATTATAAATCAGTTCGCCAGAAATCATGAACCCGATGATATGGACAATCTTTTACTGTGTAACGCGCGGAAAAACTTTGACAAGAAAAAAAAACGAAACTAATATGACAATAAACAAGAAACAAAAATACTCCTCAATTTACAAAATACAATTATTTAAATAACTAGTTTACTTTTACGGACGCGACGTTTACCGTAATTCAGCCTCTACTGGTGTGATTGCCCCCCAAATACAAGACCACAGATGGGGGCTAGGATCTAGTTTTCCTTCATTGCTCCCCCCGCAGAGCCCCATACCAATAATAATATCTCTAGACCGACCGTCTATGCCCACCCAAAAACAAATGGCACTTACACTTAACACCTATGTAAGCGTGACACACCTGGGGTTCCTCAGCCCGGCACAAAAGTACCCCAAATTGCCTCCTTGACGGGAGATGGCGTGCTGCGACCTATGTCGCCATCCCGGTCTTCGCTGAAGGTACCTTCACAAACATATTCCATAATAATCCATAATACATAATAATTCACATAATAATTCGACGGCTGCGGGGTTGATTAAGGGCGGTTTCCCCGATTGAAACCGTACGCGTCCATCGATTCGGACATCTCAATGGTCCTCGCTCGTGGACTACTGGGCCCAGCTTTCAACTCACATATATAACCATAAAACAAAAACGTAAATCCGATATGGCGTCCCGATATAAGCCTGCAGACTTATATTTATGCTATCTATATGTCGACTTATTCTCTACAAACGAAAATCCCAATATAACTTCTTAAATGTCTTCTTAAACTCTAACACTTAATTTTACGACTTATCTAAGGGGGGGGGGAATCTTGAAATTAAACCTATTACTATAATTATGTTTAATTATTTACATATGTACATCTATATATAAGTTCTTATCTATATTAAAAAAACGAAGAGAAAAGTGAAAGAAATATTTTTTCCTTTCTTTCTTCTTTTATTCCACTAACGTGGACCGTGTCGTATCTGTAATTATTTCAAACTTTACGCTCAATCTTATAATTAAGGTCTGATAATTTGCCAACTATTTTATAAGGCCCGTGCAATGGATGTTGTGGTTAGTCTGATTGGCCTTATCTACGAACTTCGGTGTTCCCTAACACCCACTGGCCTACTATAAAATTTGGCATTTTTGTGGAGCTCTCACGATATTTTGTAGTACTCGTTCGCGACTCGAGTCCAAACTTTTTACCGCGAGTGCCCTATCGCATGCCTCGGCCCTCCTCGACTTAGCGCTACGTCGCTCGGTAGCCGGGCTGTCTACGGGCTATTCTTATAAAAAAGTAAAAATAAAGAAAAAAAAATATTAAAAATAAATAATTAAAAAAACATGGTAAAGGCTACGACGCGATCCATAAATTTCTAAATCTATTTATATAAGTATAATTAACCTCAAATCCAAATATCAACTTCTCCCTATCTGAAAATACCCATTCTCGCTACACTCGATTACTACTTTCTTCATTATTTCCATTTGCCATATCGGATCCCTTAATCTGGATTGGGCGGTCAAAAACACGAGCCAATAACTATTGACGAGACAGAATTAAAGTATTTTCAATAAAAATAAAATCGTAATATGTCCATATAAAAGGGCGTCACGAAAATTAAACAAAACGCCGACGGTATAGACGCGGTAATACACTACAAACGTTTGTTTGGTTTGATTTACGGTAACATTATCAGTGAACGAAAAAACATACTACGAAAATAATACATAAACGATTTGGGCACCTTAACATATTCAACATTTCAACTAACAATTGCCTTCAATACTCTCATTACCTTGTTCAACGCCTTGTAACATAGGCCATAAACTCTATCCGTAAACCAAACCAAACCTTTCGCGAAGCACGGCAAAACAAACACAACGACAAATATATAAATGTAGAAAAAAAACGAAATTCTAGTATATTAAAAATGGCGAACAAAGTGGATAATGCAATAATGAAACGTAAGATAAAAAAAGTAAAAGTAACGAAGTTACGCGTATGATATAAAATTAATTTATTAAGAAATAGTAAAATATTAAAAATAGTAAAATGCAACATAAAACTTAGTATAAAAAAAAGAAATTAGTATGATCAACGAAATAATATAGTTCTTAAAAAGCGAAAAAAAAAAACGAGAGCGAAAAAAATACCTTTAGCCGTTCACGTATCATTCCGAACAATACATGAACGTTCATCTAATTGCCGAACTACAAATACGTATATTGCAAATCCGGGTTCTACCTTTGCAATTGTCTCTGTGTTCGTAGAAATACGACTTTTCGAAGGGAAATGTCACCTGCCCACCCGCTCTATTTAACCAAGGTTTTCTAGGCCTTTGGTTTCCAAGCCACATAATCGTCGGTCGAACTGATCGCCTTAGCTGCCATTATGAATTATGGTGAAAAGTCGTATCCTATTATTAATTAATAAATAAGATCAATTAGATGAAGCCGCGAATTGAGCACTAAGCAATGACGTTCCGGCGGGAATGAGAACGCCATTAATACGCGTAAGAAAAAAACGAAAGAAAAAAAATAGAAAAGTACAATATTAAAATC